GTACCACAGAATGAGACACTCAGGATGAGACACTATGTACCACAGAATGAGACACTCAGGATGAGACACTATGTACCACAGAATGAGACACTCAGAATGAGATGCTATGTACAACAGAATGAAACACTCAGAATGAGTCACTATGTACAACAGAATCAGACACTCAGAATGACACACTATGTACAACAGAATGAAACACTCAGAATGAATCATTGTGTACAACAGAATTAGATACTCAGAATGAGTCACTATGTACCACAGAATGAAACATTCTTAGAATGAGTCACTATGTACAACAGAATGAAACACTCAGAATAAGATGCTATGTACAACAGAATGAAACACTCAGAATGAGTCACTGTGTACAACAGAATCAAACACTCAGAATGACACACTATGTACAACAGAATGAAACACTCAGAATGAATCACTGTGTACAACAGAATGAAACCCTCAGAATGGGACACTATGTACAACAGAATGAAACACTCTTAGAATGAATCACTATGTACAACAGAATTAAACATTCAGAATGAGACATTATGTACAACAGAAGGAAACACTCATAGAATGAGTGTACATATGTCATGTACATATGCAAATATATTTATATGAGGATGGGGAAATAGATCTATGTGCCTATATTTATAGGTTTAGTATTAAGATAGCAGAAGGACATTGGGCCTCCACTCAAGTACTCCCTCAATGCAAGAATACTTTCTCCTATTAAATTGGCATTCTATGATGCTCACCTTCCCTACACAACCACTAAAGACAAAGCAGGTGAATAAGCAAATGTGGTGAAGAAAGTTGATGGTGCCCGGCTATCAAAAGATATAGTGTCTGGGGTCTTAAAATCTTGAAGGTAAACAAGCAGCCATCTAGCTCAGAAGCAACAAAGCCCACATGGAAGAACATATCAGCCTGTGTGATCACGAGTTGTTGAAGGGATCACTGAAGATGAATGGGTGTGTAAGCAAATGTGTCAAAGAAAGCTGATGGTGCCCGGCTATCAAAAAGTATAGCGTCTGGGGTCTAAAAGGCTTGAAGGTAATCAAG